AGTTCATTGCTTTGTTCAGTCTACCTTTAGAAAAAAACCAACAATCTTTCTCTGGAAAAATAACGAAGTAGCACTAATGCAAAAATGCTGAAAATTGGTTATTTAAATCAATGTTTCCTGTTTGCTGATTTATGTCCTGATTAAAAATCAGTTATTGAAATGAATCCGGAAAAGGGGTGCAGTGTAGACACAGCCTACATGTGCTGAAATGCCATCTGAGATGACAGGTCAAACTGCGCTGACCAGCAAGGTCCAGGTGTTTTTCCAACAGTGACTGGCAACTGAGCTAAATAAATAGTTGTGGAAGAACAGATTAAGGCATCTTAAAGTACAATTTGTAACTGGTTGCTGCAATACAGGACCTTTAATGATAATGGGTGGGAGAGTAGTGAAAGTAAAAGCAAAGTAGAAAAAGCCTGGAGCATCCATTGACATTTTCTCATTTAGTCTGATATCTAATTAAATCAGAACTGAAGAAACTTTTGAAGAAATTAAGTTCTGTTAACTAATATTTTGCTTAAATAAATGGCTTCACCTGGGACATTAGCTGTCTTAAAGGCTAGTCCTGCAGATTTCTACTTCTTCAAATTTATTTAGGCCTTTTCGATTTTATGTATTGGTTATACATACACTATACAATTTCAAGCTAGTCAGACCTCTTTACCCTCATAATCTCTTCACCCCAGGCCACAATTTTATGTGCAATTAAAAGGAGCAATGAAATGATTACACAGACTCGCTTGAAAATTCTTTTGTTATATAAAGAGTAGAGAGCTTTCATGTTTACTATCTGACTATTCCCCTTCCCGCTCGCCAATTACATACAGCTGTATTTACCAACAGACAATCACTATTTTTGGTTCATTTTACAAAATGTCAACTTCATTTTATGAAGTCTCCTTTAAAAAAAAAAAAAGCCAAACTTTAGCAATTAAACTGCACTGTAAATCTCTCGCATACTTAGGCTGCAATTCTAAGTAGAGCATCAGACTCAGGAAGGTTCTCTCTAACACCTTCCCAAACAAGATGGAGACAAAAAATGGCATAGGCCTACTCCACAATGTTTTGCATTTTTCCCCCACATACTTCAAGTTCCAAAAGGCAATTTCAGGCATGCAGATCAACATCTGAATAGCACTTTCACCAAAAAGCTTTCTTTCTGATTATGCACATACTCTCACTCTCTATTGGGGAAATATTTTAAATATAGGCAGGTAGTCTGCTACTGCAGAATTGTGTTATTTGCTGGATCTCATACATTTCTCTTCTGAAGACACTGGCTGGCTCTTGCAAGCCCATCTAATTGGGTTTCCTTCTTTACTAAGGTCTGCAATTCTATGTGTATGCAGATGCCAATGCCATGCCTGTTTACGGTTCATTTATTCTGTAACCAAACAGAATTATACTGTCACACAGACACATCGGGAAAATATTGCTTTAAACCAGTGGTTCCCAAACTTTTCAGCATCACGCCCCCTTTTTGATTTTTGAGAAACCCTCACCCCCCCCCCAAATAGCAGCAAATCTTGTTGAGGAGGTGAAAAAAAAGGAACTGATGGGAGATGAGAAACAAAAATCGCAGCAAAACTTGGGGTGGCAGAATGGGCGGGGGAGGGCTGGGTCACCTCACGCCCCCTCCCCCCGGAATTTCAGCACGCCCCCCCAGTTTGGGAACTCATGCTTTAAATGAATTAGCAACTCAGTAGTGCTTATTTAAGCTTTATACTGCAGAGCATGCAATGTGTAACCATGTAACAGCTAGAAGCTTTAGCAGTTACATGGTTACATTTTTAAACAAATTTTTACATTCTTAATTTTTACAGCTCTGTTTTAAGAGCAAAAATAATTAAACCTTTCACAATTCCCACACAGACAACAGGCATATGGACTTGTTTTATCATACTGGTAGATTAAAAATTCACCCCTAGAGCACCACTCCTCGTCTATAGTTAATATAGGTCATAATATTACCCTAATAGCTCACATTAACTCCCTTTGAATTGAGGAAAATCCAATCAACTGATAAAGATTTTCAGTTTGATTAAAATCTGTAGGCCAAATTATACTGCACATAAGTAGGAAACTCCATCTTCAGACTATATCATCAGAAATAGGTGCTGGCTCACCTATGCATAACAGGGTTGCAAAGGTGTCAGTGTAATTCCTATCAAAAGCCCTTTAATTATAGGTGGTATAAAAGATTCCATACTTGATTCTTAGAGCTGTAGGGTGCATCTGGACAGCACCCTTCTTTGAGAATAAGCTACGCAATTTGCAATATGCATAGCTTATTCAGAGTCTAAATCAAAAAAGCTTATTTTGAAATTTGTCCACACAGTCCAGACGTACAACAAAGCAGTCTAGGTGTACACAGATAAGTTTGCTGAGCTGGCAGTTAAAAACTCATAGTTTTTCCAATAGAAAATTGAACAAATCTTATACCTACAGCTAGATGGTCTCCCTCCGCCCCACAAAATACTTCTACAAAGTAGTTTCTATGTAAATTTTAAAAAGCTAGCGGTAGCTGAGCTCTACTGAAAACTTGGTACGTAGTGAGAATGAAACCTCAGAACCTATTTCACTGCATCACTTTTTAAGATAAAATGGCATTTAATCTATACGACCAGAAGAGTTTCTTAGGATGGAGGGTTCAATTAGTTTAAGTACAAGGCATTTGCTGGCAAGGAGTTTTTAATAAAGGCCATTTGATTCCAAGATGGTTTCCCTCCTTGGTCAACCTGCATGTTGTCAAACACAGTTTTTTTCCTCACAGTGAAGATTAAGAGACAATATATGGAGAAGCTGAGGGGGTACTGATTGCTTCAGTATTATGGCTAGCTTATCTACTAAATATTTGAGAGAGTTTGTCTTTGTGTCTGTTCAAGAACTCCTCCTAAACTGTAGGAGCTAGGACCCCCAAATTCAGTATACAGCTTCCTCTTATAACTTAAAGCAAGGTAAAGGTTTGGTTGTTCCAGGAAAATGGAATGTGCCTGGAATGGATTGCTTCTCAGAAAACCATGCAGAATAGACACACACTCACTAGGCAGGTGAAAGGGGCTGACTGGGGGCATGACCTCCTTCCTCCCCAGTCCAGGACTGTCCCAGATCTGAGCCTCCCCCAGGCAACCTTTAGAGATGGCACCTCTTCCCCCCTGATTCATATGGGAACATTGCTGACTGCTCCCCTTCATCAGGGAGCAAGGCGAAAGTGCACAGTTGGCTGCATTCCTCACTCTTGCTGGGGAATGCAGAGGTAAGATGATAGACCTGCCCCAGCCGTGGGACTTGCACCCCTCTCTGAAGCTGCAGTGGCCATGTACAGTCACTTCTCGTCTGGCCCCAAGCTGCTGCAGTGAGAGAGAGGGCTGGGATATTCCTCTCATCTCGGGACAGCCTGCATCCTGAACTCCTTATCCCAGCCCTACCCCAGAGAAATGATTCTAATGAAGCATGTACATTTTCATTTTATTTTATTTTCTAAACCCAAAAACTGAATTAAATACCTGAGCAACACTGGGTACAGGCAATCCCTGGGTTACGTACAAGATAGGGACTGTAGGTTTGTTCTTAAGTTGAATTTTTATGTAAGTCAGAACTGGTACATATTGTAGGGGAAACTAGCCAAACATTTCTCCAGAGCTCAGTTTTATTCTCCCACACCTCACTTCCCTCAGTCCTTTATTCTCAAGCTGAGGTGTCTGCTGAGAACAGCTGCTCCACGTCTCCCTGGTCTGCTGGGGGGAGGGAGGAGGCCCGCTAGCTTTGCGTCTCCCTGGTCTGCTGGGGGGGGAAGCAGCTAGTGCGGGGTTGCCTCACCCCGTTTGTAAGTAGGGATCCGATGTAAGTCGGATCCATGTAACCCAAGGACTGCCTGTACATCGTTTAGTATCCAACATTTGATAAATAGAACTTTCTACTGTGTTACACAATTATAGCAAAAAGTGCCCAGTTCAGTGATTGTGAGCTTCTTTCACACATCAACAAATCCATATTGATTTTATATCACAAAGGTGATTACAGAAGAGGAGCAGGATCAGCCATGTTATTCAATAATGATACCTGTTCCACTGTAAAATGTATTGCCACAAATTGTATGCAATCATCATGATGCCACAAATGAGATTACCATGCCGTCTTGTCTGTCCATGGCAAATCTGTGATCTTTTAAAAGAGGGATGAATGCTGCATACAACATCCTGAGTGCTGCAATAGTATGCTTTTGAGTGGGGGTGACTTCCTGATTCCTGCTACATATTATTTTCAAGTCAACAGTTCACTTGATGAAGTTAGCCCTTTTCTGTTCAAGGTCCATCTGTTCACAAATAGCCATTTCCATTTATCTGGATTTTTTCCTTCCCTAATAAAATGTGTTAGGGTCACAAGTCACATAGCATTTTTACTGCTTCATAATTGATTAAGTAACTTGTGATGAGGAATAAAGAAGTGGTGTTTTAAATCTCGAGAATGGCTAAAGGACCAGGAAATTTAACCATTTCCCTAGCTAGAAAGCACACATGTAGCCAGAGGTCACATTCTTAGGATAATTAGGCTTAGATGGCATTTGTTGGCTACTCGTGTGTTTAGGTTTACTTTTTCCTCAGAAAAGTCAAATAATTGCTTGTGTGGGTGTATGCACAAAGGTTGCCATCATGTGCTTCTCTGGACTGTTTACCATCTGCGACAGGGGCTGAGGGAACTCAGTCTCATTCCTTCCTGATCCCATAAGATCCTATCTCCAATAAGGTGTACTATGCCCTTTGAAGGTATTCTAGTACATAAGCTTAAAATTCACTGAGCATTTATACAGGAAACCTCAGTGACTTGGATCGCTAAAAGGTGAACAGAAAAAGGCTGCCAACACAACCAATGAAAGTACTTTTGTAAATTTAAGCAAGTTTTTCTTCCTATACTAAGTATTCATGTAGCTCTACTTATAATGTCTGCTGAAAGTTTTGAATTTTAGCTTCTATCTGACCTTTTGGAAATTAGGTAAACAAAACTGAACTCCACAGGCAATGATTTAACAAATGACTTATATAAAAGAGTATATAATTTCTGTATTATTCTCCTCCTTCATTAATACAGCCTCCACTGGGAAGTGAAAACTAATTTAAAAGCCCTGTGTGCCTATTATGAGTCTCAGATATGTCTTGAACCATTCTATATTAAGTTTTGTTGCCCAATGTGCATACACATACACTTACATTCTTTACCTACCTTTTGGAAGCACTGCTAAAAGATTAGCATCAATATCCTTTGTGCTATTAGCAAGCTCTTCTTTATCCTCTAATGAAAATTCTTTCTGAAAACTGAAAATAATATCTGGTTTACCAAGGTGTGAACACTTAGGCAAGCTACACAGAGGTTTTTTATTTTTTCTTGATGCCCTAACATACAGAAACAAAGTATATTTGCTATGATTTCAGGAGAGAGGGAAAAAAAGGCTAAACCTCCATTAATGGGACAATTAAGTAGACTAGTAAACAGAAGCAATCTAAGTGCGGCAGTAGGTTTAACATAATATAAGTAGTACACTTACGAAAGAGAAAAGAAACTGAAACCAAAGTCAGGCTTTACTGAATTTGGAAGAGCGAGTTAGAACAGACATTACTCCATTCTGCATTAAATTATTTATAACAAATAGTCTTGGTGAAACAATCCTTTATAAATAGCTTTAATGTTAACATTTCATACAATGTTGCAAGTTATATTTTTTTCAGTATTATGCATTCCAAACAGAACACCGTTAGTACCATTAATACGGCATTTCTCATATTTTTTATATATATCTCAATAGATAGAACACGACTTTTAGAATAGCAAGCCATTCAACATTTTTTCTTTAAAAAAAGTTTGCTTACATGAGAAGAACAAGTCTTGTTTAGCGTTATTTCAGATTATAATATAAAATGCAGGTGTTATACCTGTCTATGGCCACATTTTCACTAATGGGAAGATCAGCTCTGCGGTGGTTGATCTTCTGGAGTTTAATTAACAGGGCTAGTAAAACCCCACTAAATTGAATGCTGAGGGCGCCCCTGTCAACACTTGTATTCCTTGATTTGCAAGGAGTAAGTGAAGTTGACGGGTGTTTGGAGTCATTGGGGACAGTTCACTGAAACCATCTACTCAAGAGCATTAGGAATAACTTAAAAATGGACAGAGAACATCGTATTGCCTCTGTATAAACCTGCAGTACACCCACATCTTGAATAATGTACGCAGATGTGGTGATCATCTCAAAAAATATCTTGGCATTGAAAAAGATCAGAAAATGTCAGCAAAAATGATTAGAGGTTTGGAGTGGCTGCCATATGAGAGATTAATAAAACTCTGGCTTTTCATCTTAGAAAAGAGGAGACTAAGGGGAGATAGGACATGGTGGATAAAGTAAATAAGGAAAAGTTATTTACTTGCTTCCAAATAGGGGGCCACCAAATGAAATTGATAGGTAGCAGATTTAAATCAAACAAAAGGAAATCTCTTCACGCAACACACAATGAACCTGTGGAACTCCTTGCCAGAGAATGTTGTGAAGACTATGACTTTAATAGGGTTCAAAAAAGAACTAGAGAAATTCATGGAGGTTAGTGTCTGTCAATGGCTATTAGCCAGGATGGGTAGGAATTGGGTCCCTAACTTGTTTGTCAGAGGCTGGAAATGGATGACAGGGGAGGGATCACTTGATTCCCTGTTCTCTTTATTTCCTCCAGGATACCTGGCATGGCCACTATTGGAAGACAGGATACTAGGCTAGATGGACCTTTGGTCTGACTCAGTATGGCTGTTCTTATGTTCTTACAGGGGGTTGCTTGATGTTAAAAAGCAATAAAGCAATTCACAAATGCTGAATATGAAAGTGAAGCAGACTGACACTAAGCACAAGCTCTGAATTCAGGTCTACCTAAAATCACGTATAAGGAAACATACACGATTCTGAACATCTTTAGCCAATCTATTTAGGAAGGTACAGTTTATGCAATCCAAATTAAGGATGTTTACTAGGTTCTTAAGATTACCAAGGATGTGGTGTAGGTATGTGAAGGTTTGACCAGATAACTGGTAAGCCTCACCCTTTTCTATAAAACAACCAACTGTAGTTGGACCATGTAATCTGTCATAATATTAAGCAGAGTTACTACAATTAAACTATGACAGATTACATGGTCCAACTACAGTTGGCTGTATTATAGAAATTCTTCCATAACATTACTTTATAACTTTATAATCTAGTATAGTCATAATTTGCCTCCCATCCTGACCATCACAGATAGAGGATATAATTACACTGTATCCTACTATACACCTATATTATCCTTGTAACAAATTTTCAACAAATAGTATATGGAGTATGTACTGTATTCATAGAGAAATTCCCCTACTACAGTGGGACAAATGCCCACTTAAACAATATTAAATATGTTTATTGGCAAACAAAATTGAACTCAAAAGTAGTGAGATTATGGTAACTAAGGACTATGGCTTCAGTGCTGCAAGTCATTGGATGAAAAATTTTAAGATGCTGACAAATCATTTACTTCTCATTTTCCCTTTAGATGGGGAAAACATTTGAGGGGTCCCTCCTCTGCTCCATTAGTTATTCTCTCCTGGAAGAGCTGTTGCAGCTGTAGTTAGCAGCTTCTGTTGGGGCAGATAATCTATGGTCTCTTGATTTATATGTAATATAGTATTTTAAAAGCGCCTTTAAATTCCGCTGCAGCTCCCACATTTTAGCAATATTAATTTCTCCTTCCAAAAGCTTAAAAGCTTTAAAAAAAAAGTAACATGATTAGGTGCAGATTCTAGGCTGCTGCACTAGAAACATTTGGATTGGTTTACTTTACTGTTAAGCACTTCATTTTTTATTATTAAAATGATTTCTGGCATATACTCAGGATTTTTACTATTCACCTTTCTTGCATTTTTCTGGCTGAAGTTGAAAATGTTATTTTATCACCTCCTCTTACGTCTTCTCCTCAACAAAGACATTGTTAGATCTGGATTCTGTACAGGATTTAGAGAACGCAGTCCTGGCCAGAGCTGACCGCAGGGAGTTCAACCCCAGCCAGGGCTGGAGTCAGCTGCACGTACAGCCCAGGCCAGCACCGGGGGAGCTCAGTCCTTGCTGGGTCTGGAGGCAATGGGGACAGCCCCTGTCCGGGGCTGGCGCAGTGGGAGACGCAGCTCCGGCCAGGACTGGCATGGTATGGGGCTGGAGGCAGCAGCAGGCAACAGAGAGCACAGCCCCGAATGAAAGCAAAACCTATAGCCGGGTAGGGAGCCTCCACTTACCCAGCAAACCCCATTTCTTGGGACCACTCAGGTGCCAGACAAGGGCATCCTGACCTGTAACATAAACAATTATTTCAGGACCAGAATTAGATTCGCCCCTAGATTTTAAAAAAGCTGATGCAAAGGGATTTATTTACCCAGTCTTTCTTCAGCAAAATACCCACAGAAGGTAAGTGTTGCATGACTGGTCTTGTGACACTCCTACAGCTAAAACTAATTGCCACTCACAGAAATTAAGGATTCCATGACTAGTGGGCACATGCCACCGCTTCAGACAACATGGAGTTGGAAGATCAGCAATCATAAAAATACATGACCTGTTTATCAGTGTGCTATAAGTCCTTTATGCCTACAAAACCTATTAGCAGATCAGACCCCTGGAGAATTACCTCAAAGTAAGGCATCTGCATCAACCCTCTGGTATTACCCGCACATAGAAGACATGTTGGAGGATTTCCAGGCAACATAAGGAAATGGCAGGTGTTTTCTATAACCCATCCATGGCACGCAGACAGTCAAGCATGGAGGGCAATTTGTAGGCTGCTGTAACCTAGACAGAATGATGTCCTAAACCCTACTGAGTCCAAGATAGGGAAGGTGCAATTGTGGCGTGAAGCATCCACTCAGTCCATGAACTGATTTATGTTCCACTACAGGGATGAATTGAGCATATATGACACATCTAAGGTATTGTAGGGCATTACTTCCATATTTATTAAAAATATTAAAAGGGTTAAATTCTAGGATTGTATATGTTTTGAACAAACCTTGAACATATTGCAAAAACTTATATTTTTGCTTTAAAATTACTAGAGTTAATTATTCTACAAGTTAACATGGATTAAACCAGCAGTGTTTTATGGAAAATTATTTTTTTAAACTTTCAGAATTAAATCATTCCACACAATTTTTACCCACCACACACAATTCATTATAATTGCATTCTACTGGAACTGTAGAAAAGTCTTTATATGGGATTTTTCCATAATGGATATGTTCAGGGAATGGAAAAAATATATGTTTTCATCTGAATGTAAACCTCATGTAGTAGTGCTTCACCTTTAAAAAAAACCCCACCAAAGTTATTGCTTCTAACTCTGAGCAGAAGAGCTATACAGGCAGTCCCCGGGTTACGTACAAGATAGGGACTGTAGGTTTGTTCTTAAGTTGAATCTGTATGTAAGTCAGAGCTGGAGGTCAGTTTCAACAGCGGCTGAATCTGGACGCCAGTTCCGACTTACATACAGATTCAACTTAAGAACAAACCTACAGTCCCTATCTTGTACGTAACCCGGGGACTGCCTGTATATCCTATGGTTCCAGCTGAAAGATGTCTTGTAACTACATTCAGAAAGCCTGATCTAGATCATGGGGTATCACAAGCTCCTGTTTATTTTCAGACATGATATAAAGTGGTGAAGCATTTCCCCCAGTGAAAGTTTAACAGAATAATCTTCAGGAATCTACATGAATCATGTCAAATGTGTCTTAATAGCACTTCCTTGTCTCCATATTTTAGTTTGTTCCTTTAAATTCAATCACTTTTTTTGTGCTGCATGAGAATTTAATAATCAAACTAGCTTTAGTGCTCTCTCCTGACAATTGTTGGGCAGGAAGCTGATTTTAGACAACAGGAATTAACATTTGAAAAATTTACCTGCCACTGCATTATGGAAAGTTTGAATAGCTGCTCCCTTAACCTAGTTACAGATCCAGAAGCAAACAGCAATTTGACTCAAATCCCATTGGCAAAAGTGTTCAATCATTACTTCTTCCCACCTACGTCACAGATATATCAGGGATATATTGCTTCAGGATTTAATATTATAAACAGAAACATATCATAATAAAAACAGATTTGCTGCCCTACAAAATGGGCATACAAGTCCTTGTTTCTCATTCTTTTCTTATATCATTTCCTTCTCTTGTACTTTGAAAAGAAAAGATTTAGATGTATCCCACTTTAAAGTGTTCCTAGTCCCTTTCCCCTTCAATGCACAAAGAATATGATGGCCTGGAACAATGAAGGTGGACAGCAAGAGGCATTTAAAAAAAATAAGAGGTACTTTGTGTATTAAGAATCCTGTTGAGCAAATGCTTAAATAAGTTATTCCAAGATGCCTAAGTAATAGGCAATTAGAGCTTTGAATACCCAGTTCAGATAAATAGCTTTTTATCCAGTTGTTACAAGGCAAGGAATCACTTTCAAAAAGTCAGAAGCTACACAGATTCAAATGGTTATTACAGGTTAACTTACTATCCAGAAACTGGATCAATAAAAGGAATCTTACAATAATTTACCTTAATGCTCTCCTCCTTTGATGAAGTTTTGAGGTTTTAAATCTGACTGAATTCTCTTTGTCAAAATCTGTGAAAGAAAATTTTTAAAAAACACGGTAAAGGTGGTGTGTGTTACTATGTACCATTTAAACGGCTGTATTATTATTATCTCAAATCTTTGATGTTGGAAAGTGTAATTCTTGGATTCTATCGTTTAATGAATACGTACTACTGCATGCCTAACATGGGACAACTTAAAGTCTTGAGAGAAATAAAGAGATCATGTGTGCTAGTAAGTTTTTAATACAGTTTGTGACAAATAAATATAGTCAAGTAGTTTAAACACAATCAAGACTGGGTCAGAATCCACTCAATTCTAACCACTACTCTTGCTGCATCTTCCTCTGTGACCTTGGGCAACTTACTTAAGCTCTTTGACGAAGTTTCCCTGATGATAGTACAATAGACATATTTGCCCGTTTAACATTGAGTATTGAGTTTAAGGTTTATGAAACACTTTGAAGATGAGAAGTGTTATCAGATCACATCATAAACATGGTTTGAATCCTTACGTTATAAAAACTGCACATTCAATGCAAAGAAGAGTCGGAAAAATATACGCAAATTGTGATCCACCGAAGAGGTGGATCTACATGGGGCCAAATTTCAGAAAAACCTCCTCTTTCAGAGCATCCCTTATTCCGCATACAATGAGGAATACAGGGATGGCGAAAGAACTAGTCTGCTTTTTCAGAAACTGTTCCAAAAAAGCAGATGCATTCCTTGGACATGGCAGAGCTTTTCCAGGATACCTCTAGTAGACAAAGCCTGAGAAACATACCCATCAGGCAACTGTGCTAGAAACCAGCTAGCAGCTCCTAGTGGGGCAACAGCCTTTAGACCCATATGCACTGAACTCAGTTGTTTCAGGAGACCAAGATACAGAATGGCTGATCCTTGATGAAACTGAAGGATTGTTGCATCTTGCAACGTAGACTGCTACATGACCAATACTTTCACATTTTTCAAGGACATGGTTAATAGCTTATGTGCCATGAACACCAAAATGGTCTTGTGGTGTAACCATGCTGATGGACAACAGGTTTGCCAATATTACCCAACACAGTTATTTACAGTCTAGATAGAGCCTATGATGTAAGCAAGGGATACAGGTGCAACCATAGTTTAATTCAGTTTAATGTAGATAGTTACCAAGAGCTACATTTTCAAAGGGTCTCATATCAGCACAGCCTTTAAAAATTGCTTGCTCATTCTCTCTTCCCATATCTTTAAAGGGAGACTAACTAAATGGGATTAAAAAAAAAAACACTAGAAAACATAAACCGATGACATTTTTCTAGAACATTGAAATACACAGAAAATATTCAGTATTTCAAGCAGTCTTGTTAACAAGTAAACAGCATTATTTTAGTCTACACAGACATTATCATTTTTCTTGTATTTTGTTGACATTTAGTTTCTTTCCAGCCAGCTACATGGAAAATAAAGCTCATTAATCACACAGCAGAGACAATTTCTAAGACTAGCTACAATGTATAATAAGCAAAGATTTACAAATGGTTTACAAATCATTACACTAATAATTTTAAAAAATGATCCAAACATTTTCTAAAAAGGCCATATTTATAATACTGTAAAAGCACAAAGGATAATAATTCTCCACAAAAAAACTAAACACAGCATGAGTTTGGTTAAATCAAAACCACGCATGCATAATATTTACAACTATTCTAATAGCATATAACCCATCTTATAGTTTTTGGTACAAAAACAGCTGTCCACTAAGAAAACCACATGTAGTTCACAAAAAAATTCCTCCCCATGGCAGGAGGGAGAGGCAGGAGAGCAGCTTTCATCATCTGAAATTTGAAGAAGGGAGAAGGGGCAGAGGCTCACAGAAAGACATGATGCCATGAAACACATCTAACAGCAGTTAACATTTTTAAATTGCTATACACTTTATAGGGCAAATTCATCTGTTCCCACAAAAACTTGTGTCTCATATGCAGCTATGATATTTTATGGGTACCTCCCCCTTGGTTCATTCACATGATGAAGACTTGTTAGTATGTAATAAAGTAACTTACTGTCACAATCTACTAAAGTAACATATAAATAAATAAAAACCACTGAAAGAATGGCAAAAAGGTTCCTTTCAGGAGAACTTAACGGGTCCACAGAACAATCATTTTAATGTGGTTTTATTTCAATAGTTACTCAAAACATACACAGTCTAGTGTACTAAAGAGAAACCACTGCAAATGTAACAATACTGCATTCCCTCAACAACCACAGGAAGACTAAACACACTTAAAATTATTTCTAATAAGGTTGTAAGTATTTGTATTTACAATTCAGAGTATGTTTACTTCAGTGTTAAATTATGAACTTGCTTATGAGTTTAACCATTCAATACAGTCCCACTCCAATCTACAAAACAGTGGTTAAAAACAAAAGCTGTTAAAATATATGCAGTTAGAATATTAAATTAGGAAATCTGGACAGTCCATTCCAGTGTTATTCAGTACATTTAAAAGGCCTTAATTCAACTTCAAGCTAAGCTAATTAGAAGATCCGTCTAATCGGATTTTTGAAAAGTGACCTTTGAGGAAATTATAAAATAGAATAGATGTCAAACTGAGTACTGATTACTAAAGTAGCAAACGCTTCTATGCAACAAAATGTATGCATAGACATTGAGAAAAAAAAAGCGGGGGGGGGGGGGTATCAATTGCATTTTTCTCTATCCACTTTGAACTCTTACCTTGCTCCTCAGAGTATTTAACATTTCCCAAATAGCTGGAGATCCAAGGATTTCTGAACATGGTTGCACAGACAAAGGATTCGGCAATGAGAAACTACAATAGGAGCTAATTCTCAACCAGCCACAGCCCTAGGCCCGTCTAAGCAATACTGTGTAGAGATTTTTCATAGCACAGGACTGAAGCTGTCAGGCTATTGCGTCCCAGGGAGAACAGTAAATGCATAGCAATAGGCTGCAAAGTAGAGCAGCTCAAGCCCCGTAATCAGATTACAAACAGAAATTAGGCACATGAATGCTAAAACAAATTGGACAATGGTGATTGGGAGATTTAGAACATTGCTACTTCAAAACTCTAGCCAAAATCACAAATTATATTCTATCCAGAAGATATTGCAGAAACTCAATCTTTACAGGAAAATACATTTCTTTCCAAAAGAGGCGTAAATCCTTCTTATCTCTAATCACAGTAAACTGCAAAGAATGCTTAAACAAAGTAAAACACAGCAACTGGGCTGTCAGAAGACTGACTTTTAATCATATCATTATGCTTAACACTTTGCCCATTCAATAGGCCAAAAAGGAATGTTTAAGCAGCCAAGATTTATGGGTAACATATGAACGAAATTACTGGTGGGAGAAGGGGAGTTAAGAACAGATACCCGGACACTCATTTTAATTTGAGACAGAAGGTGAGGAATTGTAAGACAATTTATCTAACAAATACAGCACAGCTGCCACATTTATTTTAAACTCAACTTTATAGGTTTTGGATTCACTGGTAATTTCAAGAGTGAGCATGTCAGGATCCTTTATCTTCTGTTATAAAAATCTGGAAGCACTTCTCCAGAATGGTGCAATAAACTCTAACACCTCTTTTGTTCTTTTGGTGACTTCATTTTACTACTTAGATGAGCCAACAGGTCTGCTTTGTAAAATAAAGACTGACTGGGAAAAAAAATCCACACAGTCTCCTTCCCCCCCCCTCCTCAACCACAGAGAACCACTTAAAATATCACTAGAAGGCTAAACAGCTACCAGGAGGTTGCACCAAAAATAAAACAATACCCCCCCCAAAAAACAACAACCCAAAACAAACAGTCAAACCCTGATTACAAAGGGAAACAGCAAAATTCCAATTCATTTGCAAATTCGATACAATCAAATTAGGCCTGAATAAAGATTTAAACCGGTTAACATGCTACAAAGGCAATTTCCACTTTCTTGATATTCACATCTCCCCCTCAGCTGCTGTGAATGAGCCACATATACCTGGACTTGAGTAGCCTCATTAACACTGGTCCTACACTGGATAAGTAACTTTCCTATTTGTGTACAGATACGCCCTGCCTCTAATTCCACTCCAATTCATCTGATGAAGTGGGTTTTACCCATGAAAGCTTATGCATTAATAAATCTGTTAGTCTTTAAGGTGCCACAGGACTCCTCATTGGTTTTGCACCTACAAAATGTTATCTTATGGGTGTTCAGGCATACAGCACTGCCTACTTAAGGTTTATCTACACTGGCGAGTTACTGCACTGACACTTACTTGCTCATGAGTGTAAAAATCATACCCCTCCCAAGTGCAATGTGTTTCAGCACTGCCAGTGTAGACAGGCTCCTGGCCCTGGGAGCTATGCCCCTCGTTGAGGTGGGTTTTTGCTGGAGTGTAATCATAGTGTTGCGCTAAAACAGCAGTGCTTTAATCTGTCAAGTGCCAGATTTGCTACCTGGGACAAAGACTATGCTGTTACGCACCTGTATGCATCTAACACAATGGAGTCCTGATCCATGATTGGGGTCTCTCCAACGCTACCACAATACAAATAGAGAAGCTATTTGGATTTAATGTTAGGAGAGCGCTAATGCAAAATACATGGACCATTCGAAAGAAAATGTTAATTTCAGCCAGTTTGCCATAAAGTGGTATAGATGCCTTCCAGGCTGTTTAAAGAAAATAAAAACAAATCACTTTAGTGCTTTGGAGAGGGGAGGGGAGGGAGAACAGGACTTATTACTTCTCCCAGTTTCTTTAAACAACTTTTAGATGCTTAAATCAGGAGACAGGATACCACAGAGATATAGCCTGACATCTCCTGTAACCAGATCTACTTATTGAAATTTTGGGGGGGTGGACAGGTAAGTGCAATAGGAAAGGAGGGAGCCATTATCTTCGTGGACCCATTTTCTTTGTGATGGGCCCAAATGCCTTATAGCTATTAACTGAAGTTATCTTGTACTTCTTCACTCCCCCATATGTAAGTCTTCTCTGGGACTTGAGCCATCATCTTGCTTGTGGTAGA